AACAGTGGTATGTTCTGGGTATGAAGGTCCCTCCACCTACAAACATCACCGGGCCAGAACATGCTGCATGCCATCAGTATGCGGTTCCCCAAGACCCGTATAGATTGAAGAAGTCTATGGCCGATCAGATCCATGTCAAAAACAGTGCTTTCGCCACATAGCAAATGGAAGCCGAGCTGCCCAAAAGGATACGTTCCATTCGGTGAAGAACCAGAAGAGTAATGGACTATCGCAACGTTCGGCAAGAAGCTGATCAGAAAGCGGTTGGAAGGATTGGTGGAGGAAAAATAGATGAGAAAAACCCCGGATAAGTTCTTCTTGCCTTGCTCATCATTGTCCCAGCGCTGAGAGATTAGAGTCTGGAATTCTTGACCTCTATATCGAAGTGTTTGCCTGGACAACCGTAACGACATGCCAGGCATTGAATCAAACCTCATCAGTCAACCAACTCAATGTCCAGCCCTCCCGCCAGCCAGTCATATCCAACGCACACGCAGATCGGCACTCCACCAACGCCGAAATAGTGCCGAAGAGGTAGGCCAACCTGCTGAAAGCCAGGAGCAATAAGAGAAGTGGCACTACCCAAGTGGATTCTCCAAACACAGTCCTTAGTGCCACGAAAAAGAATGGTAAATGGCGTGTCTGCGTCGACTACAAAACAGTCAACAAGGGTCCCAAAAGATAGCTTTCCTTCTACCAAGGATAGACAACTGGTGGACCTAACGGCAGGGATAAAACCGTCCTCAGTTTCCTGGATGCAATACAGAGGCTACCACCAGATCGCCATGATGAACCAAAGACCAGGATGGTCACATCCTTCAACAACATACCAAGGGGTTATATTGCTAACAAGGCATGCCTTTGGCCGAAAAGAAACGCAGGGGCGACATTCCAAAGGATGGTCCACCAAAGAGTTCGAACCATTGTTAGGCAGAAGCAATGGAGGCTTACATCACGACATGGTGGTCAAGAAGCAAGGATGAGAATGACCATCTTAAAGATCCTAGGCGGAGAATGTTCCAGATCCTGAAGAAACACAAGCTGCGCCTCAACGCATCCAAATGCGCATCGGAGTTGGATCTGGCAAATTCTTGGGCTCCTGGTGACCAACCGAGGATAGAGCAGACCCCTCTCAATCAAAGCATCCAGGGGGTGGAGAGAACCAAACTCAGTCAAAGAAGTGCACATCTCACTGGTATGGCGGCTGCACTCAACGGTCAATAAGCAGATCGTCAGACAGACTACGAACCATGTCTTTCCAAGCTTTAAAGCCAAGTTTGAAGTGGGTGAAGAATGCGAACCGAGCTGGAAGCTTGAAGGAGTAACATGTCTTCCCCACCACTACTTGTTACTCCAGTACTGGTGAAATGACTCTTTTTATAGCCTGGCAGTCTCTCAGCACGCAGTCAGCGCAGTGTTTGGTTCGGCAAAAGGAATACAACACTTGCCATCTTTTTATGTCAGCAAGAACATTGTTGGGAGCCGAAACAAGGTACTTGCCCTGGAAAACTAGCATTAGCAATTAAGATGGCGTTCCAAGAAAATTGGCGCAACTACTTTATCATGCCCACACGTGATAGTCGTCTCACGGCCTTGTCCACTGAAAAGTCCTGTTTGAGAAAGGGCGAACTTGTAGTGGGCGGATGTTTGAAAGTGGGGCAGTGGAGTGTGGCCACAGGTTCGACATTAAGTTATTCCCAACCGCCAAGACAGAATGAAAAGCCATATCTCTGGCAGAACTTCGTCGCAGATTTACTCCTGGAGTCACATATCTGCCAGTCACCTAACTGACACAACCAACTAGGGACGGAAGGTTGAGCGCGCGGGATAGCGCAACCCCTATAGAAGGTAAATCATCAGCAACTAAGGCAGACCATACTAAGGACAACAAAGGAAGAGACAAACAAAGGCCACCAGCAAAGGACGAAGGGCAGAGCCAACATGGACTTTGAAAAAACACCTCCTTGGACCCACGGCATCGCCTGAATTCCTTCCAACTTGCTGGAAACTATTCGTTGGGGAGATGTGGAAGCTCTTTGTGGAAAATGGAGCATCCAACCGACATGGTGCAGGGCTTGGCATAGTCCTCATCTCTCCAGACGGCCTTGTTAAGAGCAAGCAATCAATCCTTTGGCTTTCCCAGCATCCTACACGAAGCAGAGTATGAAGGCGCTTCTCGCAAGGATCAAGTCGCGCACACTCTGAAGCAAGCCGAACTAATGGTTACAGTGAACTCACTGCTGGTGGGTAAACAAATTTCTGGCGAATACGAAGCAAAGGATGACAGAAATGGCCCAAGTACCCAAGAGCTAGTCAGAACGGAGGATCAAAGAAGTTTGATGTTGGTAAGGATAGAACAAATTGGCAGGGTGAGGAAAACAGCCGATGCGGACGAGCATAGCAGGCCTTGCCTCAATGGCAAGTACATCAAATCCCTCATCATTACTCGTCGACTTCTTACCAAAAACCAAGCATGAAGACCCCGAAGCAGAAGAAGTGTATTGCGCAGAATTAGGCCCTTCCCTTGGATGGATCCCATCGCCTGTTCCTAAAAGACGGCATCCACCAGAAGAGAAAAAAGGCCAACAGAAATAAGGGCGAAAGTCCGCAGCGGTTTTGGCTATCTCCATCTTTGGCAATATATAAGAAGTCGTTCTCTAGGCTTAACCTCAAGTGCGTTCATCCCAGCAAAAGTGAAATTTCCTGTTCCGAAAATACATGAAGGTATGTGGAAGTCATCAAGGGGGAAAGGTCGCTCGCTTCAGGCTATTTTCAACAAGGATCATTGGTGCCATATATGCAAGCAGCTCAGAGAAAATACGGTGAAGACGTGTGAAAAGATCCAGAATCGCGCACCAAAATAACATCAACCAGCAAGAGAACTCCTACCTTTAACTAGCCCATGGCCTTTCGCAATGTGGGGCTTAGAACATAGTAAGGACCACCTTCCAACACACCCGGAGCAGAAAATTCTTTCTCGCGCACCGACTACTTCACAAAGATGGGTGGAAGCAAGAAACATTGGCATCAATCAAAGAAAAAGGATGTGAAGAAGTTTTGTTTGGCAAAAATATAATCACTCGTTTGGCATAGCCAAAAGCAACTGATCTCAGACAAATGGAGACTCCAGTTCGACGGCAGAATCTTCAGAAGCTTTTTGTGAAGAATAAGAATAGGTTCTACACTCACACCGGCGTATCCCAGCAATGGGCAGGCCTGAAGCAATCAATAAAGTCTCTTGGATGGACTAAAAAAAACGGCTAGAGAAAGCAAAAAGGCAAGTGGCGGATGCTTCCTCTATGTTTATGGCTTACCGCACCAACCTCCGCGATCACTGAGAAACACCCATTTTTCCGTACCTATGGCGATCGGAAGCAGTGATCCCACTGAATGGCCTCCCCAACGAAATTTCGAAGCGAAAATTTTGGATCCAGACTTAAATGGAGAAAGCCATAGCCTTAGAACTCAACCTGCAGAAGAAAAAAAGAAAGAGCGTTGGTCCACATTCCTCATACCAAGAGAGTTAATCGAAAAATACAGCAAAAAAGGTTCATCCAAGACAATTCAAAATTGGCCGATTGGGTATTGGCAAAGTAAATGGGAAACACCTTGGTCCAGAGACGGCAAGTTTAGGCAATTGGGAAGGTCCCTTATAAGGTGGTTGGGCTTAGCCGGCAAAGGGGCATACCACCTGAAGACAAGGAATGGCAAGGCAATCCCTAGGCCTGGAATACGGCCAATCTCAAGATATTTTAACTTTTAGGCTTTTCTCTTTCAAACATTATCGTAAATTTTCCTCTTCCGTCAATAAAATAAGATTTCTTTTTAGCCCGATTACTCTTTGTAAAAGTTAGCTTTCAGACTTTAGTAATATTACAAGCATTCCATATCTAAGTTTAAAGCCGAAAACAAACTTAGAGGTTGGCTGGATTAACAACACCCTTCCTAAGCCCAGGAGTAAGGATCCAGGCTGCAGCAATTTTGGTCGGAATAACCAAAACTAAAGTTTCAGCTGGAAAAACTAACTTCAATGGTTGCTGGAATTAAACCAACTCTTGTTACTCTTCAGCCGAAGTAATGCAAGCTGAAGAGTGGTTGGCTGAATAACCCAACAACTTGTTACTCTCTTCAGCCGAAGTAAGTTTGCAAGGCTGAAGAGTGTTGGCTGGAATAACCAACATTGTTTACTCTTCAGCGCGAAGTAATGTGTAAGGCTGAAGAGTGTTGGTCTTGGAATAAACCAACACTTGTTAACTGCTTCAGCCGAAAGTAAAGTGTAAGGCCTGAAGAGGGTTGGCTGGAATAAACCAACTCTTGTTACTCTTCAGCCGAAAGTAAGTGTATGGCTGAGAGTGGTTGGCTGGAAATAAACCAACTCTTGTACTCTTCAGCCGAAGTAAGTGTAAGGCTGAAGGTGGGTTGGTGGATTAAACACGCTTAGTACTCCTCCCGAATAATTATGTCGGCTAAGCGTGGTTGGTCTGGTAAGTAATAGTTTAACCAACCAAAAACCCGAAATAACACTTGAGTAATAGACAGAATTACATGCGAGCATACACACATAACCGGAATAAGAGACTGTAAAGATTTTCATTGCAGCAGAAGTTCATTCAAGGGGCTTAGTTCGGTTTACAAAGAAAAACAGAATACAAAGTCCAAGCGAAAAAGATCTTCAATCTCGGCATCAAAGGCCAGCATCAGGACAGCTGGAAAGACGGCTCTGGTGGCAGAACTCTTCAGTCACAATAGTGGCACGGACCGGAGCACAGTTCTACTTGGCTGTTCGTAGTCGATCTTCCACCTCTGGACTCCGGCCGATCTGTCTGATCAACACGTTTTCAAACCGGAGTACGCCTCAGAATCCGCAGAATCTTCGTCAAGTATCTGAACTCAGGAAATCTGCTGCTGCATGCAACCGCATACCCCCGCAGGGACTCTTCCGTATAAAGTACTATGGAGGTTGAAGACCTCGGTCTGTTGATCATTGACGAGCGTCTCACAGCCGCCCTCCAGCCGCACTTGAAGAAAAGCTCCTTGGCGGCATCGCATTGCTTGACGTAGGCTGCCTCTGCCTCCTTGAAACCTCGCTTGTACCCCCCCTTGTCGACCGCCTCCATGTTCTTTTTCAGTTCGCTTATCTCGGCGTCCTTTCTCTTCTCAAGCTTCAAAAACTCCCGCAAATACTTGTCCTTCATAACGATGGCAGCTTTCTGCTTCTCCGCTTCTGCCGAATTAACTAGATCGGCAAGACGGCCGTTCTCCGCTTCTAGCTCGGCCATTCTCTTTTCGGCTTGAAGTAGTTCGGCCGACTTTGCTTCGGCTTCCGCCATCGCCTGCCTTGTGGTTTTGCGGAGTTCTTGGACTTTCCTATAAGTGACATTGTTCTTTTGCAAGGCCTGGCAAAACAAAAATCTCATCTCAGCCGAAGTAAAAGTTAGGAAAAATTTAGACAAGAAAAGACAGACAGAGCTACTTACCAAGATCATGGACTTGGAAGCAGACCGAATTGATTTCATTTCGGTGTTCAGTTGCTTCAAGTGGTGCTCCATGTCCTTGGGGAGGCACACACTTTTGGCCAGATTAAAGGCCAGTTGATGGTCTTTTTCAGCCACGACCGAGTCAGTGGCTTTGATGTTTCGGTCATTGAAGATCAAAGGCGGAGCCCACTTCGGAGATCGAGCTCGGTCCGTTTGGTCTGGTTGAGACGCAGGATGAGGACTTTGGGGGACGGTTTCGACTTCATCAACTAGTTGTTGTTCGGCTGACGTAGATCGGGCGCGTTTTGAAGGGCGAGATGAAGAAGGCCGTTGTGAAGGAAGGGCCACGACGGCAATAAATATAGTTGTAATTTATATGTATCATGTTGAAATTTATGAAGTTTGTAATATTTTTTTGATAGAGATGCTGAAAAAATATAAAGAAATATTATTTTTCTTAAACTTGTATATATTATTCTTCTTAAAAATTATAAAGAAATTTTACTAGTGTAAATTTACGATGACCCTCCGTTTGCAGTTGAATTACCCAGGTTGGGAAAGCTCACTAGTCGCGATGTTCCCACTTTCATGCTTTCTTGTAATACATTTAGTGCTGGATTACCAGCATTTAAAGAACAGATAGACGCACTTGATGCAGAAGTTAACCCGAAAATACTACTCAACACATTTGATGCATTGGAATCCAAGGCATTAAGGACTATTGTGAAGAACAACTTGATTGCAATAGGTGTGCTAGTCCCATCAGCATTTTTAGATGAAAAAGATCTGCCTGAGAATGCTTTTGGGGCGACCTATTACAAAAATCAAGGGATTATGTGGAGTGGTTGGATTCGAAGCCCTAATCGTCAGTCGTGTACATTTCGCTTGGAAGCTTGTTTAATTTGCCATTGCAAGAAATGGAAGAGATATTGGACGTGGGTTGTTGGAAAGCAATTGACCATTCTTCCGGGTGTTAAGAGCTTTGGCAGATAGTGAGAAACAAGAAGATAAACTAAGTTGCAAAGAAAAATTGAAAAAATTGTTGGTATTTTTCATAATAATACATGAAATTCGCAGATTAGCGGTTGGACAGGAAACCGTAGTCCGGTTTCTATTATGGATTGAAGGGTAAAAGGGACGAAGCCTTCATTGTCCCAGGGAGTAGCATCTTTCTTGGCCAACACCAGTTGGACATCATCAGGAATCTGGTAATCTTGCCTAAATTCGGCCATGCCACCAGGGGTTTCGACTAAATATCTATACTTACCCATTTGTTGTATAATTTATGAATAAATTATTTCGGTACAAAAACTAGGCTCAGTAGCTCGGTTGAGCACACGCAGGAGTGCCTGGGCAACCTAAGTCTGCAAAGTAGAAAACAAAGGGGTTAAGCACAGATCGTTGGACCGTGCTACAAATTATAAGCAAGATATACGAATCCTACTTCGGCTTAGTGGGCTGGTTCTACCTCGGCCCATCAGAAGGTTTGTTAGCTCGGTTTTGAGCAATATAGACCGGTTTAAACGTCTAGGGGCAGCTTTCTGAGTTCGGTGTAAAAAACTAAGAAAGCTAGTTTAGTCCCAAGGCCTAAATCGGTTGCGGTGTGAGGAAAGTTACTCCGGTTGAGCCCCTAGGGGCGGTTTTCTGAGTTCGGTTTCGGAACTAAGAAAGCCGGTTTGGCCCCAAAGTCTTAGCACGGTTATAGACCGAAGTACCTAGTTCGGTATGTGCAAGCTTGTTCGGTAATCTTATCTTGGCTAGAGTGGTTCAGAAGAAACTACTGACATTCCTACAAGTTCTAGTTCGGTTATTGACTACAGAAATCTACATATTAGGGGCAAACAGAATCCTAGTTCGGTTGCAATGTGATTTTGGATCTAAGGCTTGTTTTTCTACATAACAGTTCATGCACGTACAAGTTCTATTCATTTTTTCATAAGAATACAGAGGCAAAAACAAAAAAAATGCACAAGCATGCTTCGCCAAGACAGGGAAAACAGAAAAGAAGAAAGCAAAAACAAGTTTTTTCAAACTTACCAGAGGGAAACAAAGGCGAGGGAGGAAGAATGGCAGCAAAACCACAGCCTTCTCAAGAACAGTAGAAGAACAGTTAGAGCACACAGAGAGAAGATGAACAGCAATAGAGTGGGTAAGTCGAAAAATGAAAGGGACTGTCCTGTGTAAAAGCAAAAAGGGCGGGAACTGTTTCAAAATCACGAAACACGAAGACGGCATGACAGCCGTCCTTAGCCAATCAGAGCCTGCCACGTGTCACTGGAATGGGAAGCGTTACAGACGCTATGATTGAAGAGACGTTTTGACCGGATATAGTGATACCCGAGGTAAACTTAGCTCGGCTGGAAAGGCTAAAGGATTTCTAGCTCGGCTGAAAAAGGGTAACAAACTCTAGCTCGGCCAGAAGGCTGGTAATCCCAATCATGTTGCACAGATGGAATTAAGGGGCAATTGAGAGGGTAATTTTTGGGAAAAATTGGGCCGAGCTTCGAGTTGGGCATCGAGGCCCAAAACGTAGAGGACTAGGTAAAAAGGCCGTACTGAATACTCTGGCCTAGAAGGCAAGGTTACTCCGGCCTTGGGGAGACAATGTTACTGTTGTCGGCCACAGGCACGGTGACGCTGGTTCCGGCTGCAGAAGAGAGATAGTTTGAACTTCGAGACCCAAGAGAGTGTATGTTC